AGCTGCTATGATATAGTTTTTTCTTGTTCGGTTATTGTCAGTGACGTAAAGGACCTTCTTTAATAATGATCTCCTGCTTGGAAAGACGCAATATTGAAGCTGATTTTCTATTTCAAGCAGGAACAACAGACAGTATTACGTCGTTACATGTAAGAATATATCGATGCCTACAGCCCAGTTTACCTGGCCTTAGTAATGGATAAACAATTATCTATCTGAGCTATATCAACACATGTGCGCATGTGCGAACCAATAATTGATTAGTTGACAATAAAACGCCTACAAGGAGATGCTAGAGAGGCCAGGGTGTGTCTTTGAGCTTGCAGGAACTAACAGAGTAAACAGAGATGCCTAGCTACCGTCAACAACGCCTTTCAAATCTGTTTCATACAACAGGCGCTGCTGTAGCCTTTCTTCATGAAGTACTTACATCATACAATTTCCTGACATTACACGAATTGAACAACCCGGAAGTACCAAAAAAGCATTGTGTACAGTTCGATGCTCGATTTTACTCCATGGGTTTTTCGAGTTAAAAATACTAATTCCTGTAAATGTGGATCACTGCAAGTTCTGTTGAGGGAACAAATGTCTTATCTGACCACGCAATTTTTATGATTGTGTAGTCCCGTAATGACTGGCCTGTGTAACTGCACGGAGAGTACGTCGGAATTTGACACAGGGTTCCAGATACGATGTCTAGACTTTGACAAGATACGAAGACCAGAACCTGCAGCCGAGACCTTTGGTGACATGTTAGACAATGTAATGAACAATACTTTGGTGAAATGCACTTAGTCTATTATTTCATACAGGACTAAATTAATATGATTCATGGCCTACGTGATCAGTGTGGTTAAAATACTGGAGTCCTCGCCGGTCACAAATGCACTGTCAGTTAATACAAACGAACACATGCCGTTGATGTGTATTCTGAAAACCATCAAGGTTTGTATTCGAAATCATACAGACATCTTATTTTATAGGAGGTTAGATTGAACGCTGGTGCGTGTTTCCCTGAATATTGATATTCTTGTAAACATGAATTATGTGCTCATTTACTCAAAAAAAATACTCAAAATCAATTTTAAAGAAATCACCACAAAATGTGCTTCAACAACGCATCAGAGCACGTAGTTATAAACATGACGATTCCAAACGACGTTTAGATATTTCGTTTGAGTCTATTTGGTAGCGGCTATTGCTGATAATAACTTCAAATCATTGAAATTACAGTTTTCCGCAATGATATCCTGCATATGATGTACATCAAGCAGCATTGCAGAACAAAATTAATGACCCGGATGTGCGGTCTGTGACGCACAATAGCTCATGGTCGTGTTTGCACATTGTAGCTTCCGTTGTGTGCAATGAATCTGTAGTCCATAGGGAATATTCGAAATAAGAGACGATAACAGAAATACAGGGGTATACGGACAGATAAGAGAAGTGAAAGACTGGGAGTCACACAACAAAACACAACACATGTTTTTGGTGGTGTATTGTTATGGTGAGTGAGTGAATATGGTTTTATCCCGCTTTGAGCAATATTCCAGCAATATCACGGCGGGGGACACCAGAAATGGGCTTCACACATTGTACCCATGGGGAATCGCACCCGGGTCTTCAGCATGACGAGCGAACGCTTTAACCCCACCGCCCGTCAATTTAAGGGAGCCAAGTCGTGACTGGTCAAGTTCTGCTATTGCAGCGGGTGACCTTTAACGTGGGGTACCCGTCAACCGATCATGTCCCATACATAACAACACATATCGGTACATGAGTTATCTTGTTTCCTAACTAAATTTATGAAAGAACAATCAACCGTGCTGACAATATGCAATCAGCAGAAAACTAATGTAAACATTTCTCTTTTCGGCATCGGTACCAAGCATGTGTTGCGAACAGTTCTTCTGAAATGAATCCAGTTACTTTGAAAGTACCTTAAAATAAATATGAAAATAAAAATGTTTTCTGACTCCAGTTTTGAAAATGAAAATTAAGAAATTCAGTCAAATGTATGGTTATGCTTACAGAATGTGTGATTACGTTTTAAAACATGAATGTATTTTATCGACATAACAACGTACGTTATGGATTTACAACTTCTAAAAGTCAATAATGCATCTGTATATATTCTATCGAAGAAATTGCATTCCGCAACACCATCAGAAAACACCAAAAGAAATTCAGTAAAAACGTATTTTGAGTTGACAGTAAACCTAACAGTAATATGACTCGCTGGCAACCCGGTAAATAGGGGGATCACTAAAGTAGTATGATGTTCAATAACGTACTGACGGTATTAGTACCTGTACAGGTCATGCATGGTGTGAGAGACAAAGAATAGTACTGAACACTAGTCCTACAATACATATATGGACTGATAAGAAGGATCATTCAGTCAAACACGTCATTCATCCAAGTTGGCTAATGTACCAGAACGTATAACAAGCTGATCAAGTATTGTGTAACTAATGCACTGGAACCTTTTACTAGGGATATAATACTAAGTTGCAAATGTTCTGACGTTCCGCACTGTAGTCAGATAAATAATCTGCTTGGATTATGCGAGTGTCCTGTATCCTTACATCCTGTTCCTATTGTTAGGACTGTGTTTACGTGATAGCACACGTACAAAGTGAATAGTGATTTTTTAACGATATGTGTGAGTGCTATCATCGACTATACGGTCGATCAATGTTGTATTACTTTCATTGGCGTTGACCTTTGTGCGAGTGTTCTATTTAAGCAACAATTCGAGTATCGTATGACGTTATGTTTGACCAATGTCCTCCGGTAAATGATCTGAGATTGGTTCATTTAAAGAGTAGGCGAAGTACATTTGGACCGGCAGTGTTCGTGCATTATTAAATATCATAAACACGCTTTATGAACATGCTCCAAATGACGTGAAAATGAATTCCGATCTGCTTGCGTATGATCTGCGAAATACGACAAGCAGACATCTGAGTGGAATTACTTGTCATACAATAATCCTTTTGAGGTCACTGTAGACATTCAGTACTCTGTGAACATTTGGTAATATCGGAAGAGCATCCACAGTAACATTCTACACATAGTATAGCTAGCTGTTAGATCATGCAGCATTACAGCGAAGCACATCATTCAGCAACATACATAACATGTTATTTCCGTGTCACATCATACACACTGATCAGATCACATCATACAGGCTCACACACAACACAACTTTATAGCTCATGCCGTGTCGCATGTATTATAAGACATGACACACCATCCCTGCCTTTGCATGTGTTTGTGACGATCCACAGGGAAAAGGAAACGCTCACCTTTTCGCAAACACATGGTCTCATCTTCTTTTTTGCAATCGTTTTAGGGTTTGAAACGTTTTGTCGCTTTTATGCATCTGAAGAACACACACACGTATCAGGCCGTCTCTGTATATCACAGATTGCTTGCAAGCCTTGTATCTGTGTTGGAAACCTTATTAGAAGGATGAGCATTTACTTGCGTCAAACACATCAACAAGTTAAAACTAGTCCTACTTTCAGTGCAAATGTGTAGACTACATTACCCATAACAAAACCTAAACTCCATTAAAACGCCAATGTTACTTCACAGATATTTGCTTGTCAAACTGATATTATTTCAATTACAGAAAGTGACATCCATGACCTAGCATGCCGTGGTGTTACCCATTATTTTCTAACTATACCCGACACAACTCACAATCATCAAAATAAGGCTGAACAACACCACATGAAAGCCGGTTATGAAACAACCCTTTTCTTTCATTTATTAGCTGGTGATGGTGACCCTGGGTCGCCAAGTTTCTTCTTCATTACGACATTGATTGCTTGTAGTAATAAACATACATTGGCGAGTAATCAAACCCAAGTAAGTTACTATCAATAGTAATGATCTCAATTACAGAGGACGACAGACAAGCACTGATCATACATTGTACAGCGCTGCCTTTGATCAGGAGAAACGTTTCGCAAATGATGACATGCAACCATTAGGGATGTTTATAACTTTATCAAGACAAAGATAATGGGTTCGTGCTAATATGATTAAAACGATGCCATAAAACATGGAATCTCATAGCTTAGAGCTCTACGAGATTTGGTTGGCATATACTGATTAACATTGAATGGGGCGTGAACATTTTTTTAGCAACCGGAGTTTCAATATAGACTGACTTTTTATTCTTCATTTCGATTCTTTTAAAGCAGTCCCGTACGTAATGGTCGGTATGTGCACTCTGTAATCTGGAGTATTATAATTTTGTCTGGCAAGTATGATATTTTTTCATCAGAAACTATTGTTTTAAACCCTTTACCGTTTTAGGTTTAAGTAAGCAAAAGAACGCATGCTTTAATAAAACTATAAAACAAAAAACGCTCAAGCTCTCTCTCTCTCACAAACAAACACACACACATATATATATATATATATGGAATTTGGACTCTATGTCATATATATATATATATATATATATATCGTTTCTTATAAATATATAGATTTATAAGAAACGATACTATACATATGATATAGAGTCCAAACTCCTTTATGTACACACGATTATTCGTCTCTCAACGGCTCTTCAGGTGTAAAAAAACTAGTCATAGTCACAAGCAATGCATACCAGCAGTCATAATAACTGTAGGCAAGCGGAAATAAGAACATGTGTTTCAAAACACCGGTTCAGTAATAAGTTTGGTGGCAGGATAGGCTGACAGGACATGTAATTGTGATGTTGCATATCTAATTATTATACATGAAACTTACATATTACGTCATATGCATGGCGATTTGGTGAAGTATACACTTAGGAACCGGTTGCAGTTTATATTAAAAGGAATATGTGACTTATCTTACACAGGTTAATATTAACTGAAATTAATTCTGCCTTGGGATTTGTTGGATAATGCCAACAGACCTGCAGAATACCTTGTTACGTGGGTGATGAATATAAAGAACCCATACCGCTCTCTACCTGTTCAAACACTCACCTTAAACAGCCTCAGTATATTCGCGACCATGATGGACACGGGACTTGATGCAGCGCCAATAACACCTGCAACTGGATGCAAGGGTCGGATTTTAGGGGGCTTTCCGTCGGCACACTTATAATCCTCCTGGTCTATTGTAGATAATTGCGCCTTTATAAAATCCATGCACTGTTCCAAAGCATAGGTGTCAAAACTACACGTGTCGAGAATGTGCAGTCCAATGTCCAATCCCGGTAGAAGTTCATCATCGTTATTTATTCTGTCTATGGCATACAGCATGGCTTCCAGCCTCTGGATTCCCTTTTCTTTCTTTAAACTACCACAACTCTGTCCTTGTTGTCCCTTCTCATGCATTGGGAACAACCCACCAAAAATTACATCCCCTTCAGTTATTATTTTCCGAGTATCTTCTTCAATTAACACTCCGGTTCCGTGAGACGGCCAGAACATTGCCAAACATATGAGAAAAACACTTAAGAATTCCAAGTTCCACGGAGGACCAAGTTGTAACAGCTTCATGCCTTTTGTGCGAATGTCCTGCTTTCCCTAAAGCAGTGTCCCTTTCACGGTACAGGTGTACAGAAAGGCAAGGTGCCCATGGTGGACTCAACGTGCGTGCTTGGAAGATATGTGACTCCCTCCAGTATGAGAGTGTCGCGAGCTTCTCTGGCCTTCTCTCATAGATCAATACAACGAACGCCGTTAGGCGAGAAAACTTTCGCCCAGGCTTGTCGTAGCAGATGCTTCATGCCTGGAAGCAGACATTGTACAAGTTCGTCGTGAATCTCATGGGTGAAACACAACTTAACCATCATCCTAATTTGTTTAACAAAACAGTTGAATGAATTACTGGCATGACAAAGTAATAACCAAACATAACGTCGGCAGTGAGCTATAACGTCCACTCAACCAGGCTTATAAATGTGATGATGTTAAAACAGTTTATTTCATACGGAAGCACTGCTAGTCATGTGTTATCACAAAACCACAGTTTCCGGGTTATTCGTCAGGGATGTTAAATTCCGTATCGCTGTGTGGTGTTCTTTTACAAATGGAAATAAATAAATAATTATGAAAAACATAGCATAATGTACATCCAATTTTTGTACTTTTTCTCTGTTTTAATTATCTTACGAGTGATCAGGAATGTCATATGTTGTTGACAGTTTGGAAATACACTTGATCTTACTGATCATGTGAATATCACTTCTTTACACAGGATACATTCCCTTTGACTTTGTTATGGAAACTATCCATTCTTAGCATTGGACTGCCAATACGGATGTTTTCTTTCGGACAAGACCTAGATTACGGGATTTTGTTCACCACAGGCACGACTGTAACATGATATTCTACAGTTCGTAAGCATAGACATTTGCAAAGTTTATGTAACATCAAACGGAAGAATGAAGCTGCCAACTTATTGATCCTGTGATAGGTAATGATTCGCACTTCTTAGGGCTTTCCTCTCAAATGCTCTGCTGACGGAAATACTGTTTAAAGCGGACTTAAACTCACTTTCACACCGAGCCAGTGATAACATAATAGCGAGAAATGTAAACTGTAGATGCACTTATTATCAGCTTAGCTCTATGTTTTCGACTCGAGATATTAACATGGAATCAGATGTCTTACAGTCATGACTGCATGGTGTATTTGCATATACACATATCACATGTGTAATTAACCCATCCATCTTTTATTCAGCTCATAATCCTTATATTCTTAATTATACACACACACGCACACACGCACGCACGCACGCAAACACGCACACACACACACACACACACATATATATATATATATATATATGGAATTTGGACTCTATCTCATATATATATATTATCGTTTCTTATAAATATATAGATTTATAAGAAACGATAAAATACATATGATATGGAGTCCAAACTCCTTTATGTACACACGATTATTCGTCTCTCAACGGCTCTTCAGGTGTAGTGAAAAACTAGTCGTAGTCACAAGCAATGCACACCAGCAGTCATAATAACTGTAGGCAAGCGGAAATAAGAACATGTGTTTCAAAACACTGGTTCAGTAATACAGTTTGGTGGCAGGATAGGCTGACAGGACATGTAAATGTGATGTTGCATATCTAATTATTATACATGAAACTTACATACACACACACACCTACCTCCCCTTGGCTCCGCCAATGCAAAACATTAACTTCACTTTCAAAAGACCTGACCGCACCACCAACACCCCCACCCATCCCCGGATCCGCCAATGCATTTTCACACATATCTGTCTGAATGACCATCTTTGATTCAGTAACAGGTATATGGCGACGTCTTTACACGCGACCAATTCGTCTATCACTAAAAGGTATAATTGTAATCAGCGTTTTAGGCAAGAATAATATAACTTTACGGTTTCTTATAATGGTGTCTGAGACGGAACTTAAAGTGATCTTTCCAAACAACTCCCGACAAGATGGCAAGGGACATTGTAATTACGTTGCCAAATACCTAATCCTCTGATCATATGGCTTAGAATCGAATTGCAAATTGTTTAACTTCCCACATGCATATGTTTAACGGAAGTTTAAATTTTTAACTTACGCTTCTCATCCAGAAGTTGCTTAGACAATGTCCCCACTAACCAGGCACACCTTCCACTAGGTACCTTGAACATGATTTCAATAAAATTCATGTGTTAAACATGTTGTTTTATGAATGATCTTGCTTTCGGAAAGAAACATGTAATGCATTATTTCCCCAAAGAGTTCAAGGAACTAATTGTATGTCTCCCATGGGTCGCCGTTTAAGAATGTTTGTGTAAATAAACCTTTGTACAGCGATCACATAATAACATGAACGTAAACTATTTAAAACAATGCCGGCGTGATTAGCGTGCGTAATGGGAAGATGTCACCTGCCGATGCCTCGGCGGTCTTGTAGGTACACAAAGCGCCTTCTACAGGGGGAGCTGAAAATAGAGGAAAGGGGGAGGGACAGGTCAGACGGGGTCAAGGAAGACGAGCGCGGCGTACAAGGATCCCTCGGGTCACTGAAACAGACATGAGAGACACACATCATCACTATCTTTAGGTGAACCCGCGCCTTATAATGTTTACTAAACATGGATGAAGAAGTAAACAGACGTTAAAGGGCACAATCCCAACCTTGAAAAAAGACAACGCTAATCTATATTTAACTATAATGTTTTGCTCTGTAAGCCTTGGATGTGAGGTTCTTGTCTCATAGCTTACTACAAGGTAAACGCAACTCTGCAGAGCCTTGGGGGCCATCATCGGATAGTTCAAATATAATATGCCTTTTATTATCATATCACAGCTTTGTTGATAACGTAATGCGAATTACTGAACATCCGGTACTCGGGCACAGGTGAAAATGTTGAAGGATAGTATAGCCTGTGATGTGATGCAGCCCTTCCGTTTTGCATAAGGGGCGGTGGGGTAGCCATGTGGTTAAAGCGTTCGCTCGTCACGCCGAAGACGCGGGTTCGATCCCCCACTTGGGTACAATGTGTGAAGCCCATTTCTGGTGTCTCCCGCCGTGATATTGCTGGAATATTGCTAAAAGCGGCGTAAAACCAAACTGACTCACTCACACTGTTTAACATATGTGAAAATATACTTCAACAATGTCTTTTGCGTTTATGGAGGTACTCGTGACCACCAGTGTGCATGTTGTGCAAATGTGCTGAGTACATACAGTGTTAAATTAAGATTCATATTTGATCATTCTAGCTGAGATTAATTATTAATTATTTTAACAAACAATTAGTTCTTGGTGCTCTACCAAAATATTCATTCATGATGCATTCTATACAACATTGTTTTTCTATTATTATTCTGACAAACATTAGTGATACTTTTTCCAAATATTCAGTCTTGATACATTTTACGAAAATATGTATTCTTTATACATTGTAACATAAATCCAGTGTTGACATTTCTTCATAAAGGCTCATCTTTATACATAACACTGACTGCCTGACTGAGTTTGGTTTTACGCCGCTTTTAGCAATATTCCAGCTACATCACGGCGGGGGAACACCAGAAATGGGCTTCACACATTGTACCCATGTGGGGATTCGAACCCGGGTCTTCGGCGTGACGAGCCAACGCTTAAACCACTAGGCTACCCCACCGCCCCTTTATACATAACAACCATGATACTCTCTACATACACTAAACAAAGATTCATTCTTGATACATTCATACATCGATTCTTATTATTATTGTTTTGGAAGTCGCCTTCTTACATAATAAGTTAGGCTGACCAGTGACAAATGCATTAGACCACTCCTCACTCACATAATTAACGAGTTCCTGTCCTTGGCTCTCTGTGAAGCTGTGGCTAAAACTGAAATATCCCCAGCTTGGTATGATATATTTGTGTGTAGGGATCAGTGCAATCCAACTGATAACAATTACATCAGTCCACATGAACACAATGTTTTGTGTATTCATTAGTCATGTATTTTAGTAATTGAACAAACCATGCCAATATATAGCTTTGGTGACGTTTATATTCTTGATTGCCGCCATATCGTCGTACGTTGATGTAAGTGTCGGCCAACCGGATAGGTCAACCGTGATACATCCGCCCGCAAACACAAACAGTTTCTGGTGGAAATCGAAATCCTCTTTCCCATTTCCCTTTGCTGATGCATAGAGGCATCACAGGCTGTTACCGTCGAAGTTTATGTGTTGTTTATTCGACTGGACGAGGTGAGAGACAAAATCCTTTAGGGAGACTTCTTTGATTGCTCACAGTTTCCACTGTCCAGACACATACATTTTTATGCAAAATCCAGCCACAAACGACGATATTAATGAGCTAATTAAGTAAAATGGATCCTAGGACTACCAATCCCCTTCAGCCACACAAACACACACACATACACACACACTCACTCACACATCCATATCTATATGATAATATAGATAGTGTGTTTATACACATCGATCGAATATCATCAACTGGTGCTTTCATAGATCAAACGTCTGGGTAGGTGTTCTGACAAGTCCAAAATAAACCATGTTTGCATGAATCCCTCCTTTGTAACCAGACGAAACATATCGAAGATACGTCAGCCGTGTGTGCTCAGCACCATCCAGCTACTAGACGTCTATCAAGATTCCACTTTCTTGTCCTTCCGCCATGAATAAATAATGGCAAGTTGCTTATGTATCTGCATTAAACTGCATAATCGTTTCCAGAAAGAATGAAAGGAAATCTTGAAACGACAATCCATTACTGGAGGCAAAAACTTTCACAGCAACAGACGGGGACTTGATGAATTATTAAACTATTCAACAACGACTGTTTTCGATGATGTCCATTCAGTAGAGCCAATCTGTTTATAAGGACTTCGTGTTATTTAAAAGTGACTGGAGTGTGTCTGTGGTCTTCTGCACAACATAGCGAGGTGCATTATAGAAGCTTCGGTAATTCTTGTTATGGGTTGAAATCGTATAAAAATGTTTCAGCTATAATTTGCATATATATCCCACTCTAAAGAATTCGCAAAAGGCTACAGTATTAACCCGCTCAATGTTTCACAATACATTGGGTTTCCATGCTCAACTCCCTTGGGAGTATGCAACCAAAGCTGCCTTCGACGTCCAAAAAAGGTTTCTTGTCCTACCAGATACCCATTTACTGTTGAGTGAACAGAGGCTCATTCTGCACAACGTCAAAATCAGATACCAACGTCAAAATGTGCTACATTCGGATTATCAGCCTTGGGGCATTGGTGCCTTTAAATATAGGTCTGGAATGATTTGAATGGAACTGAACTGGGATCACGATGACATTCCCTTCCACAGAAAAATCTGAAAAGTTCTGCTGGTAGTGTTAAAGTCAAATCATTCATTTAAAATACGCGTTGGGCAGTTATTCTGTTTCAGTACG